AGTATACATCGTAGCCACTTTATCTAAAATTTTTATTCTCTTTCAACCAAGTTACTTGGACGCAAACAATGTCTGGTTTCTAGATCGTAGGCCAGGAGTAAATTATTTCTTTTAGTTCTTTTTGATGAGCCAGAAGGGATTGTGCATTCCATTGTGAGATAAGTAAACCTGTCATCAAAGTGTAAATATTCATGATGTTGCGTTTCTGTTACTTTTGGAAGGTTGGCTTGCGTTTGACTGGTCAGATGAGTGTGTTCCTGTTTTTGTTTGATGATCTGTTTTCTTCGGGCTGGATGGAGTCTGTGGAGTTGATCTGCATCTGCCAGGTTTTTCTTTGTGTTGTTTGAGTTCTTCAGGTTCGGAACGAAGATGGTCGATAAGAGATTTAGTTGCAGCTACTCTCTCGTCTTTGTTCTTGAGGGTATCCATTATTTGCATTACTCCGGTGAGTAGTTCCAGGATATTGACTGCGCTACAAAGGTACTGATGCGTGGATTCAATTTGTGTTGCAGTTGCCTGTTCAGTTTGGGTGGTGGCATCCTTTCTTTGTTTCGAGGGGAGGGTAGTTTTGGGTTGAATAGGTCTGCTGATCTTAGTTTTTGTTCTATTTGGGTTGTCACGACTTGTGGATTTTACCTCAGGGGTCGCCATTGGTTGTGTTGCAGGAGTAGATTGGGTGGATGATGTGTTTGGGTTTATTGAGATGTCTGTTTTAATAGCCTTTGCTGCGTCTGCAAATGATATATTGTATGAAACTTTGATGTTCTGGATGCGTCTTTCTTGTTTCATAGTGTTGCAACCTGCATATGCTGATAAATGTTGCTCCCCACATCTGCAGTATTTAACTTCATCCTTCTGTGTGCAGTGTTCGTATGAGTGTGAGCCGCCACAGCGAACACATCTAGCAGCGCTACGACAGTTATTTGCCACATGACCAAGTCGTTGGCAGTTAAAGCAACAGATGACGGGTGGGATGAAAGGCTTGACTCTGAAGTTTTCATATCCTAGCTGGAAGGTTTCAGGGAGGGTGGGAGTGTTAAAAGTTAGGCAGACAGACAGACTTTTCTCGAATTTACCATCTTTTCTGCGCATTAGACGCTTGACTTCCAGGATACCTTGTTTCTTGCAATCTTCTAGAATTTCTTTGTCATCTAGTTCAGTGGGGATTCCAGTAATTACACCTTTACTCTGGGTTTCTGATTTTGCAAATTCGGTAGTTATAGTCCATTGATCAAGTTGCGACGTGGCTTTGAGTTTTTTGGCCTGGGCTGACGTATTACATCTTACAGTAATGCCCCCTTGCTTGTTTTTGGTGACGCTTTTCACCGTAGTTGCGACCTAGGATGTTCAAGGCTTTAGCAATTTTAATCGAGCTAACCTTAGCAAGTTTGATATCAGGGGAATTAATGATGACCAGTGTAGGTTGACTCTTGATGTTTGGGTTCTGAATGAGACGGCGTTTAGGTTGGGAGTTTTGTGGAGGGTCACTATCTGAATCTGTGTAGACGTCACTGTATGTTATGAGCTGTCGTTTATGGCTTTTAGGTTGAGACTGTGTTTCATTTTGGGCTTGACTCATTAATCTATCTGGGTTTGATCGTGATCTGTCATCATTCTCTTGAAGATTGTCATAAGGCCTTTGATTAGATTGTGATAATTGATCCCATGTTTTGGGGTGGAATCGGCCTAAAGCGGCCTAGAAAGGGGGAAAGCTTAAAGTCTAAAACTTCCTGATAATGAGATATTGCTTAACAGTTGAAGTAGCAACACAAGAATCTTGAAAAATAATCAAGTATGCCAAACGAAGGCAGTCACTGGCTGACAGAGATTCAAATTTTCGCGCGCTCTCGAACATTCAATCCTACGTCCGGTCACGGCAAAATCTTCGCGGGTCTCCCTGCGTGCGTCGTCTCCGTGCGTCTTGTTTTGTAGGCAACGGGCCATTAGTGCGCATGCGCAAGAATACCCTCGCCACATGTACACATGTACACTGTACGTACGTACGTGTACGTACGTGTGGAGTACACGTTCATGTACTTTATGCCGACGCGGCGTTCGTCCAACGTGGGCTATCTAGCCGAGCAAGGTTCTGCATGCAGTTTGCTTCCTATTAAATATTTTTCAAACTATTGCATGGAACCATTGACATTGTCCTTGGGCTTCTGTTTGTCGTAGGACTTAGTGGGGATACATGTACATGTATATCGATCTACATGTAGACCAGGCCTAGCTGGCCAAGGAGAGCACACCACCTTCGGTGATCTGAAGAGGTGATTTGGTTTGGTTTATAGCTCCATGGTTTGAGGGCGTGTCTGCAAAAGATGCCGGAGGAGGCCATCAACACAACCCTGGTGGCTTGGGACTATGTGGCCATCGCTACCTACTTTGTCTTGGTCCTGTGCGTGGGATTGTTTGTAAGTAATCTTTGGCGAGCATTCCTCCATGACTGGATCAATGAACAAACACGGTCGATCGTGGCCATGATAACAAGCGGCAGCGCCGTTTCTAAACCTTCAGCCTAATCTCGAGCCTTCCATACAGACCTTCCGCTGCTTGCAAGAGCTGCACTCAATCACACATGTGAAGCCAAACCACGGTTCACAACCATGCACAATGTGTGACATCTAGCATGTCTAGATGCTCAACCAAGCATAAAAACTTATCTCCTTGCAGTGGCGCGCCTATAATAAGAAGGCTTTGTCTACTTGTCTTGATACTCAAGACAATGATGGATACCGAGCCAACACCCCTTTTCAGGGGTCAAAGGCTGGCCGGAAGCGTGTAGAGCTAGAGGGGGTGGAGTACGCGGGTGGTTACGGGGATCATAGAGCAAGGACACATAAACTAGATCTATCATCACGGATCTAGGAGAATTTAAGGATGGGGATGGTTTTTATATCCATGCCCCTATAAAGACAAAAAGAGGTTACTAATCATGCTAATGGGAAGGTCTTTAAAAATAAGGTACTCTCCCTGGTCACCATGGTCACAACCAATTGAAAACCTTGAATCTTGAAAACTGATCAGTAGTGCGGAACTATTAAAATAATATTGTCACTACAAACATCTAACAAAGCAAACGTTTTTGCTGCTTTTGTTAAATGTTAGTCCCTGTTTATAGTGTGTCACTGTAGCTCCATTCAGTCATGCTTGGTAATAGAGGGAAAGATGGAGGAATCTTTCGGGGGGGGGGGTCAGGCCAGAGATTTATTTGATGTCTCAGTTTTTGCAGACCAGCAGAAATAATGCTGAAACATTACATGACATACATTATGTATTACAGTGGTATTCGTGTACTTAATTATTTTTATTCTAGAGGGATCCCAATACAACGCTTTTGGCATTGACCTGCGCATTTCCGCATTTGAAAACGAGACTTTATTCAGGCTTGGGTGAAGCCATGCTGAAAGCGGGTAGAATCGATTGCAAATTTGGAATCGGAGTCACGATTCCCTTTTTTTGAGGAATCGAATCCACGCCACTGGCGATTCCATCACCTGGAGATCTGATTCCAGGAACAGTACAGCGATTCCAAAAGACTCCCATATAAAATGATCCGTCGAGTTTTGAAAAAAATTTGTGGTTTTATGTCAAATCAAGGAACGTAATCCACGCGGCTTTATTTTCGTTGGCAAAAACTGAAGTCTGCGACGTGTTATAGCCCACATGCTTTGCAGAATCGCAGTGGCTCCGTGCAGTACTCCGACCCATTTGTCTACAGCATGCCCATGGCCCACTGTTGGCTGCATGCCGATTGTGACCCCTTAACATGCTGAGCATTTGGATGCTACATTGTGAGCGATGAAAACTACACGTACATCGGAGTTTTTCCCGGACGCCAAATTCCTTGCAATGAAATTTCTTGTCGCTGATTACCCTCTATTTCTTATTGGAAACTTAAGTGTAACATCTGAAGGATTTACACACATTCCTTGGAAAGTTTATTGCTTCCAAAAAAAATCTTCCGCTGGACCAACGTTGCGTTTTAATCTTCAAGATCGAATCAAATTGTGTTGGAGAAAGTAGGCCTACATGTACTTCGTCACATATTACAAAAATTTGCTCAGAACTGCAAGAAAAAACTGAACAATGCAGCCCTTTGCCTGATATTAATTCTTCCTTTAGCATGAATTACTCCAAATGCAAGTAACTGTTGAAGCATTTGAAAATTCCCATGATGCCAGCTTTTGGAAAATTCCCCAATCCCACAATAACTTGACATAAAATCAGCAATCCGAAGTTATTCAAAGTCAAACATTTCCAGGGTTTGCCAACTAAACTTAAACCATTCATTAAGAAAGAGAAGCTGGTGAGATCGGCAATGGCATCGGCCCAGGTGGAGATCGGTGTTCAAATTATGCATGTTTCTAATACATGTACAGTCCTGCATGCATCGACCGCTCTCCGTTGGTGCACGGACATACTTAAGTTTTTTCCATAGTCTGTAGTTAATTTGACACTAATGGATAGACTTTTCATCTGGGAGCTTTTGCAACCAAAGGTAACAGTGAGGTGAAAATACCGTTGACGTGTAAATGTAATGGCTTAGATGTCATGGAGCTGAGTGGTGCTTCATCCCATAGTCCAGAATGCTTGTGTAACCCGGAAAAGTGGCACACTCTGGGGAACGCACAATAGCTAAGAGAAATTCAAACTGAACCAAGGATCTTTGAAGGGACAAGTCACAGGGAACTGATTTAATGGGGACTCGGACACCAATTCTAGATTTCAAAATAAAAAAAGGGCAAAACGATTGATTTGTAGAAGTGTCAAGACCCGATCAAATCTAGAAACAATGACTTACATGTAGAAACCAAAGACCAAAAAGTTAGACCTGAAAACCAAAGACTAAAATCAAAACTAAAAGCTTGACCAACACGGTGCGTAAAATAGTCTGTATGAGAACACGCTCAGACTTTTAGCTGTAAAAAAAAACATAAGAAACAACAAACAAATCTCTTGAGCTTGGACTGGGGAGATGAGAGCGGTGATTAACATGTCATAATGTTGAAACTGTACACAGGCTGATAGGGCTCATTAAGTATTCAGATCCTGTGGCATGTCCAATAAACAACTTAAAAAGTGAAGACAGTGAGAGGCATGTGCTTGGTAGGATTCTTCATGTCTAATGTACGGTATGACTATCAATGTACATGTACATGTAAGCCAACTAAAGTGTAAGAAATGTGAGAATCTATGGGAAAAATTCATAAAGAGTTCTAAAAGTTATGCATGAAAAATGATATAGGCTTCAAGTGTGATAATTCTAGGCATAAAACTCCGCAAAAATATTCACCCAAACCCAAGGAAAAGTTTAATGATTCAGAAAACTAATTCTCTGAAAGTAGATGGACAAAGCTTAGCAAAAATAATGTTTATAAACTGGATAAAAATCAGGAAAAAGAGACAAAATTATCTTTATAAGTGAGAAAAAAGTTCAGAAGCTCACTATTGACTCATTGTAACAGGCCATACATGTACATGTATGTGTACTCGACACTCGAGTGTGCACCATTAAAAGTGAGCGGGAGAGACACAAAGGCAAATCTCTGCTGTTGGTCTGCTTTATTGTGTAGCTCATCATCAGATCATGGAGGTGACTGAATGAAGCTTGAACCTTATAGTGGGGGGGGGGAGCTTGGGCCTGGACAAGCAGGGGGACCCACTACCAGGAAAAGGAAGGGAAAGTCTAAAACTGAACTGTGAACTTGCAAGGTTCATTCACAGGCTAATTTCTGGCTGTGCCACACGTGCAGAGTGCATCAAACTGTGAGGGATGGTAGTATTTGTTATTCAGTGACAATAAAAGTTTGAATTCAGCATCTGCGGTACTTGTGCATGTTACACAGACTCGGGAGCCTTTCCTCCATTAGCTTTTTTGGAGCAGGGCGGACACAGAAGGCGGCCACTATATGAAGTGGGTAGATTTGAGTCAACACAAAAGATGATCCCCGTCAGTGGTGTCCACTATATTTATAAAGTAGGCTAATGAAAGCATGCTGTATAATTACCTCTCTTACAGCTCTTTATAATAAGGAGGGTGAGGTTGTTGCATAGGAAGTACCGGTATTTTTGCTAGCTGAAGTGGTTCCCTGTTTCTCTCTAGGAATTGATAGGCAGCAGTTGTACGACGGTAGCACTTAATTTTTTTTGGGGGGGTGAGAATTCTTTTATTTATTTTAAAAAATTGTGACTTTCAAGGAGACTGCTGATAACCGCAGTACCAGAGTGCCACCTGTGCATAGCGTACATGTACAGTAGCTTGGACCGATGCTGCATGTGGCATGACTGACACATTGTATATTACCACCATACCCCTGTTTTATGCCTTTTCACTTTACTGCCTCTTAACTCCACTTGAATTCCACTCTGTGCCAACTTTGGCCCGCCCATGGTTGATTTGCTGATTTTTCAACTCCACATTCAAACCCCTGTTTAAGGAAGCACTCTCAACACAAGCCTGAATCCAACTTTGAATTTCACTGACGTTTACAAAATGGCTGACTGAATGTATTCAGAAAGACAGTTTAAACCTTGGCCCGTTAGCATTGGAGTCAGTCTTCAAATGTGCTTGTAACTGGGCAAGTACTTGTAACATGCCTCTTTGTTAAGCGAAAGTTTCATCATTTCTAATTTGCATTTACATGTAACTCAGTCCTTCAAGGCCTTAGAAATCTACACATTGCATTATTTGCAGAGCTACAAGGTACATTACATGTAAGTTACATTCTTTAATTACCTAAAGTACAGTGTAATCCTTTTGGGTTAATTATATAAATACCGGCACTTTTTTGATGTTTTAAACGTGGCTGCTCATCATTTCAAAGATGTGCATTTTTCTTGTTTTCAGGAATAAACAAGAATTGGAGTATATTAATTTCCACCTACTGTACATGTATTTTCATATTTGTAAGTGAAGTTAATGTAATTTTGGGTGATCCAGGCTTGGCCTCTCAGATATTTTCAAATGCATGATTTTTTTTTCTATCCGGCAAGTTGACCGTATATTTAGGTGAGCATGAGCAGTAATCCTGCATTTGATTATCCTGTAAAGATCAACCAGGGGGAGTATTCAACCCTGTTCCTTCCACATCGCTAGCTGTTTTGAACCCAGGGCAAGATTTTCAACTCTGGGTTCAAAAATCTCACCCCTGGACTGGAGCAGAAATGAGTTTTTTAACCTGGGGCAAAATCAGTCTCATGTTGACTGGGGGTAGGCCCCAGGGTGAAATTTTGCCACTGTAAAATGTTGTATGGTGTCCACCCCTTGTCAACCCCCAAATTTGTCTTACGGAAAAAGGCCTTACCCGTATATATACATGTACATGTATATGTAGGCTATACGATGCACATGTCCAACGACTGTGAGTAAAATTAAACTTCCGACTGATTGAAAAAAAGTTTGATCATCTGTTTGGGTTTTGACAGCATCTGACACAAGGTTACCTCATTAAACGTACTGTATCAGAGACTTTCAAGTACATGTCCATGTACATGTCCTTATCTGGATAGTTCTAACACATAACGGTATACACTAACAAACCGTGTTGGTATGGGGAGGGAGGGAGGGAGGGTGCTGTGTGTGGTTGCCCCAAAGTGCCTAGGGTCTAGAGGTTGGGGGGGTGGGAGTAAAACATTTATTTTGTGGAAGGCCCTTATCCTTGAAAGGGACAATGAATTCAGGGCCCTTGAAAATAACTGAACTTAATTCATTTCAAATTAAAAAAGCTGTGAAAAGTACTTGAAAAATTGATTTATGTCCCATTACCATTTTGTCGTCCAGCTCTGTACGTTTCATTCTAAATCATCGGTTATCAATCAGAAACCAGTTTAATTGCCGGTTTTAATTCTTAAGTGTTGGAATTTAAAATTTGAAAAAGTTCTTTTAAAAGGACTGAAATAAGTGGGTTTCTCGTAATGCCTGGCAAACTTTGTCAAATGAAAATAACTAATCCAGAAATGGGCAGTTCCATGGTGTCAGAGGCCCATTTCAGACGCTCCAGCAGTTGCATTTTTAGACTTATAATCACACATGTAAAGCAGATTTTCATTTTGATAAAAGCATCAGCCGTCACGGTAGGTGCACGTAGTTACATGTAGTTCTCGATTCAATGAAACATTACTCATCCAGCATTATTGCTCTTATAGAAACTGACTCTTAACACCATAGCAACAGACGCACTCAGAGAAAATTGGTGAAGTATCCATTTTTGTATCACAAACTCTAGTGATGTGCTAGGACCAGAAGTTACATGTATCTTTTTCCTGTGTTTAGTTTCTGCAGACTCTTGTTAATATACATGTGTACATGTACTTCAAGGCATGACATATTTTTGTCTGATCGTGACTTGCAGAAAAAGCGATTGTTAGATTGGTGTTGGACGTACACATCTGAAAGTACTTGCAAAGTAGAATGTAATCCAGTAAAATGTAAATCATATCACTTATTCCTGCACATAATTAGTAACAAAGAGAGACTTCAAAAAGTGATTACCAACAAAACTTCACAGAAGCATCAGTTTGGTGCCCAAAAATACCACCCAAAACCCACAAGTTTTATCACCAAGCAGGTTTTTTAGACTGCCAAACCCACTTCATTTCATTACTTCAAATTAGTATACCCAACAAGGGGAATCTCTTTTTGTCTCTTTGATTCCACATTATTTTAGTTTTGAAGATTTACAAAATTTTCTATTTCTAAGCCATGCCAACTTGTCCGTGGAACAACAAGGCTACATGTATTGATAACTGCACAATTTGAGACGACTAAATTTTGACTTAAAGGCAAAAAGAAAGTTCAGCTGAGTAAATCTGTCATATTTGTTAACTAATAAACTAACGAATGAAGCTGTCATGGAAGCTTAATAATGAAAACTTCAAATTTATTGTTATGAATCTTTCCTTTTTTGTAGTCATTATGCCGCTCCAATCGTGGGACAGTGAGTGGTTACTTTTTGGCCGGCCGCTACATGACTTGGTTGCCGGTAAGTAGAGTTCTATGTACCATAATTGCGTGCTAATCCTCCGTACTATAAATTAGCCCTAACAGTACTTTTGGCAATGTTACTCATGCATGATTGGGTTGCTCCATGATTGAGACATTCCTTGCCTTTTAAAAATGCTGGCATGAGCAACATTGTCAAAAGTACAGTACTTTTGACAATGTTACTCATGCATGATTGGGTTGCTCCATGATTGGGACATTCCTTGCCTTTTCAAAATGCTGGCATGAGCAACATTGTCAAAAGTACAGTACTTTTGACAATGTTACTCATGCATGATCGGGTTGCTCCACGATTGGGACATTCCTTGCCTTTTCAAAATGCTGGCATGATTACAAGAGAGCAGGCCTTGTGCATGAGTAACATTGTCAAAAATGTTACTCATGCATGATTGGGTTGCTCCATGATAGGGACATTTTTCGCTAGAATTTGTACGCCGGGTTAGTACTATTTCAAGGCCTGGAGAAACAAGTGTACATTTACTGAATGAGCGAATTTAGGCCAACTAAAATAATTTAATGTTTTCCTCCCTTCGTTCATCCCTTTAAAAAAATTATACAAGTTGAATGTTAAAGTTTTGAGTTGTATTTTGTACTTGTCCTGTAGTACATGTACACACATTACATACATGTATGTACTGAGCACTCCTGTTATGTATGGATGGATGGATGGATGGATGGATTGATGGATGGACGGATGGACGGACGGACGGACTCATACAAATGTACATGTAAAGCATGTGGGGAAAATGTAAGGGATGGGGGGGGGGACTCCAAGTGACAGATTAGGATATTGGTTGGGGGAGGGGTACCTGTAGGAGGAGGATCATGGGGACAAAGTACACGTCTTTAGAAAGTGGACGAAATGCTGGATAAGGTTGGCGTAATGGTTGGGTTGGATTAGTGGGATGATGAGACAGCCAGAGTAAGAAGTGAAGGGAATGATGGGCAGGGGTGGAGTAGGAGATGGATTGGATGATGGGAAGGGGGCGAGTAGGAAATGGATGAGATGATAGGGAGGGGCGCAGAGTAGGAGATGGATGGGATGATGGGGAGGGGGTGATTAGAAAATGGATACATGATGGGGTTGGATACTGTAATGGAAATACCTCTCATCCAGGGTTGCTTTTCTAATGTATGAATACTGTACTTTAACTATGTGTGGGTCTGGGAGTGCCAAAGTGGTCTTGGCCACTGGCCAGACCCATTCTTTCTTTATATAGTCCAATGTTCTCCACGGCCGAAAATTTGGGCAGGGCAGTAGATAACATAGCGAGCGTGAAGCCCTTACGGTGTGGGCCCCGGAAAAGTTTGGATTCTAGATGCTCTGTGGTGCATTCTGGGGCAATTTCCAGTCCACAGTTCTAGTTTGATTTGTTTTGCATTTAAACATATTTCATTTCTCTGAAATATGCAGAATATATTTGCATATAATTGTTACAAACCTGTTAAATGTACGTACACTGTACATGTAGGAGGCTGGTAGTCTCCATAAGTTTTAATATAGGGTCTAAAGTGGGACGCACTGGCCACAATTTGGAAACTGTTTTTCCTGCCCTGTAGTAAGCTCATTTGTGCGTCCATAACGCAAGGTGTTTACACAAAAAGAGTAGTGTATGTCACCCACCGCTTTGTTTTGCTTAAAGCTGAGATGAAACACTGGAGGGGCAAAGTGTGGCCAGGAAATTAGTTGTTTGCACTGTTCCATGGGACAGAGATGCTACATGTATGTGCAGCATTGCACAAAGGTTGAAGTACTAAAACTTGCCCAATTCCTGATCAGTTTCTGCCTGATCAGCAGAATTTGCAAAGTGTAATGGGGGAGGGGTACCTGTAGGAGGAGGATCATGGGGACAAAGTACACGTCTTTAGAAAGTGGACGAAATGCTGGATAAGGTTGGCGTAATGGTTGGGTTGGATTAGTGGGATGATGAGACAGCCAGAGTAAGAAGTGAAAGTGTAATGTTATTTGAAACTCTTAACAGGCATGTGGGTAAACAGTTCATGAGAGTTTTGGGATTCATTCATAGTTTGGATTATCATAGTTTGGATTCATTTATAATTTACAGTGATTAACATTTCAAAGAAATATCGGCACACATAGGATGTTGACAATAATAGCTACCGTTTTATTTGGATATCAGTAATTTATCTTCAATGCTATCAGGACAGAGAATACAATTTGAACAGCTGCAGTTTCACATGCGTACATGTTCTAGTATGTGTAAAATGTAGGAAGCGTTAGTTTATGAATTAGCTTCCACTTTTCAGTATTTACAGGGTTAGCAAATTTTAATCTTACTTAGAAACAATAAAATTTTTTTTGAAAATACAGGTGTGTGGCGGTTTTCGGTTGATTGCTCTACCGCTACAAAGCTCCCTTGATTGTCTGACTTCAATTAAAGTTCAAAGTTCCAAGTTGACAAATTGTATATAATGAGCTTGAGTTCTTTAATACAGTTTCACAAGGTTTCACATTACAGCCAATTATGCCAATAATGGGATTTCCCAAGTGTTCTGGTACTGAAGGGATTTCACAGATGTCAATGCATTCATGAATTCACAGGTGTCATGATGGTTCACAAATTCACAGATATCACAATGGTTCATGATGGTTGACGATAGTTCACTGTGGTTCACATAAAAACTGGAATATATATATGAAAGATTAAAATAAACACAAATTCATAAGTGCATCTCCAAGTACAATAAAAATGGGGAATGATTAGAAATGCTGCATAACTTGACCCTCAAATCATCCGGTATAAATGGCAAGAAATGAATTCAGGATACTATAAATCCTAAAATTATATGTAGCGGTCCGGTCCTTCTGCAGTTGTCAGGAGGGTGGAGATCCGTCTGCCAATTAAGGAGGATAGGAGGCGCAAAACCAGGCAACAAACGGACTTGAGGCGACTGTGGCTTGATTCCCTTCGATTTATTCCCGGGTGTCAATCAGCAATGAAAAATGTAACCAAAAAGAAGCCAAGAAAAAAAACCCTGAAGAAAGACAGAGGACGTACTATTATTGAGTGATGGCTCACATGTACTGTACATCGTAATAAACGTTACATTCGCTATGTCCGTGATAAATTCACGCAAAGAAATGTCTCTGTACAATCATAAATTCTCTTACCCTGACGTCTAAAAGACTGCCCAAATTGGTATGAACTCTAAAGCCAACAGGAATTTAGGGCTTAGGTTATTTCACAAGGAGCCATGTTGCTGTGACCGTGGTGCAGGTCTCAAGAGTGGGAACGGTCACTGTGAAAAGCCCGGAAACTTCTCAAGTCCCGCCAAAATGTAATACAATGTAAGCAACTTCCGGCTAAAGGGCGTGGCTTAGACATAATTTAAGTCTGCACATGGCAAGGGACGCTCCTACTCACGCATTGATCTCGTGCCAGAGACCAGCAGGTCAGAGTTCATATTCGCATCGAAAGTAATTATCTCACCGGGGAAACCGCAGATCCCTACATATATAAGAATCTAGATTCACTGTTTAAGGGGGGCAAAACCAAGATAACGTAAGGTACGGTGCATGTGTATCATCAAAGGAATATCGTTAGACAAACACACTATCAAAATTGGTCCAATTGAACTGCTACTTTGCCTTAAAAATACTACAAGATATCCCTGTTAAATCACTCAAAATAACGTTAAAGCTAATTCTGTGATTCATAAAATACACTGGACAGCAGAAGAAACTTGCCACTTCTTTCAAAGGCCACACATAAAAATTCACTCCAATTTTTGTACACAGGTATGCTGCAGTACCCCTTACTAATCACATGCCCAAAAGCAA